TTAAATGAGGAGACCCACAGACTCATGGAATCTAAATTTTTCTTCAATAGGGTTTATAGCAGTCTGGTCCTATGTATAATTCTTGTGATCTATGATCATCTAGGTCCAGTATGTGTGGTGTCCATAGCCGGGCCATACAGGAAAGGAAAGTCATTTGTGCTCAGCGAGGCGTTCAATCAACCACAAGTTTTCCCTCTTGGGCATCACATGGAAGCGGAAACCATGGGAATCTGGTCGTGGATTGTCCCGGAAAAGTTCGGGGTGTGCAGAATTTTTATTTGAATTTTACTTTGTTATTTATGATATCTATCTCGGCGACGTATGGAGATTTAATTGAGATATTTTTTATGAGGATGCTAAAGGCCAGGAAGTCACAGTAGTGTTGCTAGATTCTGAGGGAATGGATGCAGCAGATGGGCAAGGACTTGATGATAACCAGATCTTCACTTTAACGGTCTTGCTAGCCACAGTTTTGATCTACAATTCACAAGGCGTTCCAGCCAGACGTGATCATGAGGGACTCGAGTATCCTTTTAAATACAGTAACAACACTGAACATGTTGTTTAATTTAAAATTACCAGTTATTAAATCATTGGTGAAGAGGGAGAGATAGTCAGTTGAATAAAGTTAATTTGAGTTTTTAAAGTAGAAATTCAAGAAGCTTCTTGCATACACCAAGAATCAGTACTATCAGAATTATGCATACCAGGATCCGTGGAAGTAAATCTGTTACGGGTAAATTCTACATCCTAGTACATTCATTTGGTTTTTCAGGACATTCCACCGAATTCTTGACTTGTATGAACACGATTTCTTGACCATAGCGGTCTTAGGCTTTGCTAACTTCAAAGTCATTTTCCTCTTGAGATCATAGCTATTTTTAAAATACTTTTCAAAGAGACAATTCATAGGACATGGTAAAAGATGATAATAAGCCTGATGTGCTAAAATTAATAATCGTTTCTCATAAATTATCTCCAAAGTTTTCCATTTTGCTTTTCCAAGAACCGCATTGCTTGTTAAATATTATTTTTGCCGCTCTGACATGTATAGATTCTAGGTTTAAGAATAGTACTTCACCACAAGAGCCCAAAGCTAACATATACCCTACGTAACAGAGAGCAAAATAGCCCTAAAGCAGAAATGAACTCTCGCCTGTTTAAGTAAGAAGTACAATGATTTTAGTAAGTTCAACTTCTGCGTAAACGACTTCGCTAGTTCCGATGCATGATGATGCCTTTAAGAGCTTTGTCTATCAGGACACCTACGCATCTTGTAGAAACATCCCCCTCGATAACATAATTACTCGTTTTAACTGCTTTTATTGGCCCAGTCAGTTGACTACCTCCACTGAGCAGTCTATACTCCGTCTTAATATGATGGGGTGAGACAGTTCTCACAACACTATGTATATAACCTTGCTAGGACTTCATTATGCTTAGCTTAGAAGCCACCAGATCATAACTCGGAGCCGAGACAAATGGTAGCATCGTCCGCGTACATGTGTAGCTGCAAGTCGCCATCTATTCACTCGGTGATATTGGGCAGGTCATTACAAAAGAGGGAAAACAGAGGGGGGCCAAGCACAGAGCCCTGTGGTACACCAAACGTGAGCGACAGAGCTAGAGATTGACATCCATTAACCGTTGCCACTTGCGTTCTTCCCGAGAGATAATCCCTTATCCAACACCATACGTCCTCGGCTACATCAAGACTCTGAAGTTGCCAGAGCAGGATGGAATGGGAAATCGCACCGAATGCCTTACGAAAATCTACGAAAACCACACCCACAACGTGTCCTCCGTCCAGTGCTCGTCTCCAGTCCTCCGTTATCTTCACTAGCACCAGTTCATCGGCTAAGCGTAGTAGTGTTTCAGAGTTAGGTTCCTTATCAGTACGTTGATCAAAAAACTGTTTAAGGGCCAGAAGGCCTTCGCCATTAGGAATGACAGTGTAAAGAGACGTAATATCCATGGTGAAAAGAAGTTTGCTTTGGCCAATTCTGAGAATGTTTGATGTTTTGGAAATAAATATAAAAGATTTAATATTCTGTTCTGTTAGATCCAACGCGTCAATCGGGACCAAAATCCTTCCCTTTCAGCACGATGCTTTCAAAAATGTATTATTGAATCTCGTTTCTCCCAATATACCTTCTTCCCTGAAAAAGTATTGGTATTGTTAAATATAATTATCGTAGAGTTTTAAAATGAACGCTTATAAACTACAAGAATCATTTATGATCTGGTAACTACTGTGTATTCCTCGCTAATCAGCACATGGTTAATACAAGTTTTTTTGCTTTTCTTTTAATTGTCTTGAAGAAAAAGATGCAAACGTTGCCAATAAAATGAGAAATGACATATTAATATTTAGTGCTACTCTGAATATTGAAAGACTGTTTAGCATTTAGAATTGAAATTCATATTAAATTTGAAAACATTTTTTTCAAGCTATCAAGTATATTTATAAAGGAGAAAATGTAATTACAAACGAACTGCTTCTCAGTTTCCGCCTGGCGTTTTGTGCCTTTTGACCAGGAAATATAGTGTTGCATTTAGGATGTTTGGAAAATTTCAACAAATCCAGTCGCATAGTTTGTTTTTCGGTTTCCTACGAAAAGTTCCCTTACCCTGCAAATATGATTTCGTCGTCCACAAACTGACCTCTTGTTTCTGATACAGTTGTCATTTGACTTTCAAATTCTTAGAAACTAACCGCCAAATTTTCCTCTTTTTTTTTTTTGTAGTTATGTTTTTAAATGCAAAACACCAATACAAAGAACAGGCTCTCACTTAGAATTTCTCCTGAGTCTTACGATCTTATAACTAAATCCCCATGTGCATTTGGACATTTTAACGAGTTGATTGTTGTGCTTGTTTCTCGTCAGTAATTTACGCATCATTGTGGTAATGTTCGCGAAGAAAAATTAAATTTTGATCAGTTTTACAGAAGTGCCATGTTGCACTCATTTCGTTATCCTTTGTTCTAAAACTAAGTCGCAGCAAATACATTGTAGAGAAAATAAAACGGATCGTATAACAAACTATACCTTTCAGAGATAGAGGGTGTAGAATAAATATTCGGTTAGAATACAAAACAGACACAACATCATCAACAGGATCGACATCTGCAGCGGCAATGAAGTTATTTTGCGATACACAGAACGAATAAAATATTTTTACCGCATGAGGGAAAAAATGTAATTGATGTTT